GTTCAGCAGCTCTCCCTGAAGAAAGAATAAGGAAAACATTTTTCCATAAAAAGTATAGTTAAGGGCTGGTTGCCTAAAGATGCTGTGGAATCTCCATCTCTGGAGAACTCAAGAAGGTCTGTAGACTCCTCCACAAAACTTGTCAATTTAAGGGAGGTCAAGAAGATTCAGTTTCACCATATAAGGAACAGATAGTAGCAGAGAAAAACAGAAAACGAAGCAAACAACCATCATCTTTTTCCCAAGAATCAAAAGACTAGTCACTTTTGCTACAAAGAGTAAGCATGGAAGCAAGGATGCCTACAGCCAAAGTAAGTGTGATAGCTCTCCTCTGTCTCACTGATGGAAGAACAAGCTACAAGCAGACTTTACTTTTAATGTTTTCTGCAACTGAGAGGGCTCTCGACTATATAACACAGCAAGAAAATGCCTTGCCCATCCTCCACTGCCACTTCCTTCTCTTTTAGACAACTCCTCTCAGGCAAAGCACCGCACTCAGAATGCCAGCAGAATAAAATACCTATTGTCACGTTCAGAGTTCCGTGCTTTTGTTTACTGTTTCTTACTGGATAACTGTCTACTTCGTCTGCAGGGATGACGAAACATCCTAAAGATACACCCATCCAAACTGTACATATAGCCAACAAAAGAAGCAAGCATTTATAAAGATTTTTTATATTTAAGACTACATTAAAATACATATTTTTTTTCAATTAACTCCATCTAAGCCATAAAGCCTGAGCTGTAAACTTCCTATTAAAATCACCTGCTACGTTATTATTGGGCAACTATCAACTTCATCAGCAAATACACATCTTTTCTTCTTTCTCCCCCATAAAAACCCTCATCATTAAATCCAGTCCTTTCAAGCTTCCCCAGTGTTTAACTGTGAAAAATACTGTTGTATACCCATGCTTTAGAGTTTAAAACAAAATTTCAGTAGCACTGTTCTACACATTCAATAACATTTAAAACATTCTCACCAGTTTCTGTTGGAATTAAAATCATTTTATCACCATTCCTCTTCACCCAAAACACCTCACAGAAATAACAGGATACTCTGACTTTTCTTAATTGTTCTCCAAAGTCAGCCAGGAATTCATGCCATTTTTCAGATCATTTTTGTTTCAAGTAAGTTCTTCAAAATCACCTATATAGACCATATCATTTACTATTTAAATCAATTATAAGCTTCCATTCACTTTGGTTCTGCATGGTTTGTATCCAAACAACTGGCCACAGATTTATTATTCACCTATTTTAATTTTACTTATAAAATTTACAGTAATTGCTAACAAACTCCTACTATTCCCACTGAATTGCTTACACTCTATTTGCTTTTGCTTTCATCTCCCTTTCAAGACAACTTTAATAGGGATGGGGAGCTGGCCACATGTTTTTGCAAATACAGGCATTGGCATCTTGAAAAAAGTTCTTAATATTTTTTTCCCTGTCCTCAGAACTTTCTTTTTTTTTTTTCTCTTTTCTTATTTGACTTACTGTTTTTCAGTCTTTGAGAAGGTGGCCATTTGACACATTTGCTTTCTCAATAATAGTATTTTTACTAGATGATAATGCCTGGCTTACTTATTTTAAAATAAACTTAGGCTTTAGCTTAAAAACCATAAACTAAGAAATCTATTATAAGAATTAAAATCAGCCACTGAGTTTGCTTGTTTCTATACATTCTTATCAGAACTGCTTTCTCTGAAACTGCTAAAAAAAGTACTGACAGCAGCCTACCATGGGCTGGCAGATTCACTGAGTCTCTTTGTTTTAAACAATCTAATATTCTACAACAATCAATGCCTCCATTCAAAAATTGTAAAATGTCATCAGTTTCTGGTTATTACTTATTAGAAACAATTTATTGATGACAGCCAAATTAAAATTTAAAATATTTACTTCAACTGCACTTTCAAGTCCAATAACTTTGGGAAATGCTGCTTACCTTTCAAAAAACAAAAATCACTGTGCTTTTTAAGATACCATCACACAAGTATAGCTAAGACACTTTCCTTTGAAGAGATTTTAGGAAACAACTTCACCAACTAAACCAACTCCAAGATCTACTCTGATAACAAAAATAATGAAAACAGTTTGCTCCAACATCAGAAATTGGAAATTTGTGCTGAAAAACCTTCAAAGTTTAAGTAAGTCCTGTGAAAAATCCATCTTTTCACTTGAGTCCTTTTTTATTTTGATTTATCCCTCAGAAAGATACACTACCGAGTTCTGCTGATTTTTAC